AAATTTAATTTTTGAACTAAAAAACTGCTTTTTAAGAAGCAGAAAAAAAAATCTCCCAAACAAGCGAAAATCTCAAATAGGAAGCTTCATGATTTTCTTATTAAATATTTTTTCTTACAAATGATGATTGGGGCACCAAAACCAGTTGGTAGGTAGCTAAACATTATCTCTTCACATTAATTATAATAGTAATATAGAGGGTATGAACAACTGATCATACATGCATATCTGAAGAAACTGAGGAATGCATTTAACAGAGAATGACACTAGAATGAGACGAAAACTAATGTCGTTTCTTTCACCTTGATTACAGAGATTAACAAAGTATTTATAGACACGTATACAGCCCAAGGAAACTACTAGATACATATGTATATATGGCTATAAACCGAAGTTTAGAAAGGTGTGAAACTGTCTGGCTTAGTATGTTGCGTCATGTCTAATATGCCCCCGCAAATTGATGGGTCCTTTGTGACAGTCAATTTGGATCTGAGAAAGGTAAAGCGAGGTGTAGAGAGTGGCTTTGTGAAGATATCTGCTATTTGATCGGTAGTGCTTATGGGTAGCAGATTAATGTGATGTTGTTGAATATGATCCCGAAGAAATTTCTGATCAATCTCCACATGTTTTGTGCGAGAGTGAAAAACAGGGTTATTAGCCAATGCAATAGCTGACATGTTGTCGCAGTAGAGGTTCGTAGGCTGATGTTGAGGGATGCCGAATTCAGAAAGCAGCCGGCGTGTCCAGATGATGTCTGTTGTAAGAGCAGCCAGCGCACGATATTCTGACTCCGTGGATGATCGAGCAACGGTATGTTGTTTGCGGACTGTCCATGAGATAAGAGTTTCGCCAAGGAAAGAACAGTAGCCGGAGGTGGATCTACGAGAGATTGGATCGCCTGCCCAATCCGCATCTGAAAAAGATTTAAGGATCAAGTTAGTTTTGGTGACAGGTATACCGAATTCTAGCGTACCTTTAATGTAACGGAGAAGTCGTTTAAGAAGATAAGCATGCTCGGCCATTGGATCGTGCATATGCTGGGAAAGAAAATTGACACTGAATGAGATGTCTGGACGTGTTAGAGTAAGGTATTGGAGTGACCCAGTGAGGCTCCGGTAGATGGCTGGATCGGCGAGCAGATTATCACTAGAGAATTCGGCTGGTAGCTTGGTGCATGTTGGATTCGCGAGAGAGTTGCAGCTGACTAGATTTGCTTGTTCAAGGATTTGAAGTGCATAATGCGATTGAGAGAGGAAGTAGCCGTTGATATTTTTGGTAATTTTGAAACCGAGAAATTCGTTTGCTGATCCTAAATGCTTCATGGAAAACTCCATACTGAGGCGATCAAGAATCGTTTTGAGGCTAGCCTGATTATTTCCCATAATTAGTATATCATCAACGTATATGAGTAAGTAAATTCGAACGTTAGTCTTACAAAAGAGTAAAAGCGAAGGATCTGCCTTACTATGTTCGAACCCAAGTGAAAGGAGAAAGGAAGTGAAAGTGTTATACCATTGACGCGGAGCCTGTTTAAGACCGTAAATGGCTTTATGTAGGCGACATACATGATTTGGTTTTGTTTGATCTTCAAAGCCCTTTGGTTGCATCATGAAGACGGTTTCTGTTAGAGTACCGTGAAGAAAGGCATTTGCAACGTCAAGTTGCTGCACGTCCCAGTCATTGTAGATGGCAATTGCGAGAAAGATTCGAATAGTTGGGAGTTTGGCAACGGGGCTGAAAGTTTCCGTATAGTCTAGCCCAAATTGTTGATGGTTTCCGAGCGCTACGAGTCTTGCTTTGTACTTAGCGACCGTGCCATTGGTGTGTAGCTTTGTTCGAAAAGTCCATTTGCATCCGAGGATAGATGCGTTGGGTGGAGGCTTGACGAGGCTCCAAGTACCTTGTTTCTGAAGCGCAAAAAATTCGCTTGCCATTGCATTTCGCCATTCAGGTAGTTTTATGGCTTCGGAATAGCTGGTCGGTGCAACAGAAGCATGGCCTGTATGTTGAGTAATAAGGTTAAGGCGTTGAATAGGTTTGAGATTACCTGTTTTGCTGCGAGTGGTCATGGGATGAATGGGCAATTGCTGGACAGTAGTGTTGTCTGAAAGATTTGTCTGAGAGGAAGTATCCGGAATGTGACCAGCGCTGTTGAAGGTTGGAATAGAAGCAGAGGAGGTTTGCCTGATTGGAAATTGAGTGTGGGCCGAGGGTGTTGAGACAGGATGCTGATGCACGGAAGCACTTGTGGGAGTGAAAAGAAGCGGCGGAATGTCAGAAGAGCTGGCTTCAGGACTTTTCTGCACCATGGAGAAGGGAAAAATAGACTCGTTAAATATAACATGTCTAGACATAAAAATTTTATTCGTGGCAATGTCAAGACATTTGTATCCCTTGTAGTTTTCAGAATACCCAAGAAAAACGCACGAATGGGATTTAGGTTGAAGTTTGTGACGGGTTTGAGGCGGAGAGAGAGGAAAGCAATTGCACCCAAATACTTTTAATTGACTGTAATCAGGCTTGCGTTTGTACAGCATTTCAAACGGAGATGCATTGCGAAGCGTAATGGATCAAAGGTGATGGAGATTTTGTTATCTTTGGTTAGTTGTGAGATAGATAATAAATTGAATTTAAGATTAGGCGTGTGAAAGATTTGAGCCAAGCTCAGCTTACGGTATGGGGTCGGGAGAATACCCGCCCCTGTGTGCGCGATGTGAACAGAATTTCCATCGCCAACGGTAATGTTGTCGGAGCCATTGTAGGGAGCAGAGATGGAGAGGTTGTCCAAAGAGTTTGTGAGGTGTGTGGATGCGCCCGAATCCAGGAACCAGTTGTTGTCGGAGCCATCAGAATTTGCCGTTAATGCTGTGTTGGCAGCGCGTGGTTGCGGAGTGTACTGGAGTTTCGATCGATGCCAGCAAGAATGAGCTGAATGCCCTTTCTTGTAGCAGATTTGGCATATGACGACGGCATTTGGATTTGGACGACCTTGAGGGGCGTTGTTGTTGGACGAGCGACCTCGTGATCTACGACCTCTTCCGCGAGATGTGTAAAGAGCCGTATTGGAGTCTGGAGACGATGTTGTGCGAGCTGCATCAGAAGCAATATTTACCTCTTCGCTAAGAAGAAGCGGGTACAGTTCGTCGAGGGAGATCGGAGTCAGCATGGTCCTGATCGCGGTCTTGAACGACTGGTATGACGGGGGAAGGCCGTTGAGTATGTATAGAATGATGTCCTCCGTGTCAACCGAAGACCCTGCAGCCGAAATCTGATCCACCAGACTCTTGATATCGGCGAGATACTGAGTCATAGAAGCGTTCTTGAGGGAGATGTGGTGGAGATCATAGAAGTCGAAATAGTAGAGATCCTTTCAAGCCGAAAGAGTGGATATCTAGAAACGAAATGCAAATCAGGAAAGATCTAAAAGAAAAATATGTGAGAATAGTTTTAGCAAATATATATGATGGAGAAAGAGAACAGATTCGACTGGTATCTTATGGAGAAGCGAGCCATCATTTGTTGAACGGTTTCGATGGTTGAATTCATCTTCTTACAAGGAGTGATGAAAAGTTGACGAACTTGACAACCAAAATAATAGGAGATATCAACCAAAATAACAAATGTTTTAAAAGTTGAGAACACCAAAATAATTGGAGAAAGAAAGAAACATGCGAGTGAAGTAAATGCCGGTAAGAAAAAATGTTAATGAAGTTTAAGAGACCGAATTTGGAGAGAGGAAACTACAGGAGAAGATGATGAGCGTAGGAAGCTAGGGCAAACCGAAGAGGCGAAGATGAAAGACGAAAGACCGCTTGGATATGTTAGAAAGAGACAATATTAGGTAACTGATAAAAAATATGCGGAGTCTGGATTTAGAGTTACGTCCGGACTCTATTAAAAATGTGACATATGTTCTTTTATACACTGTGTACAAATTTATATACATTGTGTACAACTATGTACACAGTGTGCATGTTATGTATATAATTTTGTAATTTGTATATAGTGTGTATAGATGTGCATACTGTGTACAAGGACATCTGTCACGTTTTTATTGGAATTCGGATATAACTGGACTCTTGCAAGTAATAATTTCTAGTGAAGAAGAGGGACTGGGATTCGACTGTTGCAATTACTTCTTTTTGGTCGCTTGCTGACATAGCCTATGTGTTGCATACTGTGAAAAAGCTTCGAATTGCCTGTATAGCTCCAAATTCATGGGTGTTTTTGGAAGAGGATGACTTGTTAATGAGCAAGAACAGATTGCAAAATTACCATAAGATTCCTTTATTTTATTGGCAGCTGCTCTACCTTTGCTTCCCTCCTAAGTTGAACCCGTATTCAATCATTCGAATCTTCAGCATATAAACAACACAACTGATCTGATTGTTGTGTTTCAGTACACTCCAAGGTTCTACGTCATATTTCCTCTGAGCAATCACATTTAATATATCCTCAAATTTTAATTATGATCGAGCGTGAACCTCAGGCAAAATGAAGTTAGAAATTTCCAAAATTAAATTTGGAATAATTTGAACTCCGATCTTAATAAACTTACAGTCAAATTGAATGTCTCGAAGAGACGAAACACATAATTAGACTCAATTTGAGCCCAAATGGGTCCAATTCAAAGAGTACTTGAAGCACATTTGGACGGTTTTTACTATAAACTAGGTGACCAAACGGTTTCCAAACGTAACATGTTTATGGTCGAATCGAGCGGCCGGTTTCCAAACGTAACATGTTTATGGTCGAATCAAGCGGCTCGACGACAAAAATCCAACGAGCCTAAGATCATCAAATTTTTATATCATAAAGATATTCAAATGCCTAGTAAACGGTCCACAATTAAGATGATCAATTTCGGCCATATTTGAACAAATACCAATGTACCCTTGATCTCCCTCCTATTTACTAGCTATGTAGCTCTCAGAAAATTATAAATTGACCCCCCATTCCTCATGGAGAGGAGGAAGCAAGAGAAGCACGGAAGAGAAGGAAGAGAGAAACTAAATTGCTTTTGCCACCAAACTCCTCAACCATCGAACGTTGTCGGACTTTCGCCCGGCTATCGTTTGACATCGAACATCAGCCCGACTACCCACTGACACCAGACTTTTGCCCGCTACAGACTGACGTAGGACTTCCGTCCGGCCACCCACTATCACCGAACTCACTAATTGTTGCCAGACTGTCATTGGACTTACTTCCGACCATCGATTATCGTCGGACTTCTCCCCAATAACTGTCACCAGACAACTATCTTTCTGACAAC